GGGCCTGTTCCCCCCCCCCCCCCCAGGCAGTCAAGCCAAAACGTAAAAAGGAGGGAAAAAATTTTAAAGAGAGGAAAGAGGAAAAAAGGAGTACACCCATGAGTTCAGTGGCGATCTAGGAGTGGGGAGTGAAAGGAGAGCTCCATTATTTACCACTTATTTACACCAACCATGGTGGGGCTGAGGTGGGCGTGGCGGCGTGAACTTTATTGTGCCCCGTCCCCCCGTTAGAAATTCTCTGGACCCGCCACTGCCAAAAATCAATGAATTAAAAACCCTACCAAAATTAATATATTGACTGATATAACAATAAATCCTATATTAAATTTACGATCCTACTAAGTGATGTCCTACTATAACACAAGACCAATAAAGACCCCCTACTGAACCTAAGGCTTAATTTAAACCTACTAAAAAGCATAATGAAGCTAATACATAAAAATAAGTTCCATAATAAATTTAAATGATGTGTATATTGTATAAATCCAATTTTCCATACAACTGCATTAAAGGAACTGTTCGTTGAATTGCTATGCTTGATACGATTATAACATCTTGTTCCTATTTGAGCACTGTTAAGACGGAGTCGACGTTAAGGTAAATGAAACTCGGAAAAAAACAAACTGTTCCAAAGGCAAGTTTGCATCCATTATATCTTTTGAAACATCTGACTTGAATCTATTATACTGTGTATGATGATAGTGATGAGGCATACAGATTTAAAGAAAAATACAAAAACAGCGTGGTGATTAATCCTGGTGTGATTAATGCTGGAGCTTTCTAAGACGGAGTCGAGGTTAAGGTAAATGAAACTCGAAAATAAATACTGTTCCAAGGGCATGTTTGCATACATTTTTATATCATTTGAAACATCTTGCTTGAATCTATTATACTGTGTATGATGATGGTCATCAGGCATACAGATTTTAAGAAAAATACAAAAACAGCGTGGTGTCCCACATGTGCATTTTTGCATACGTATGTGTTTTATGTACTTATTAAAACATTGATACAAACCAAAGTTGTCAGTTATTTTATTTGAAACCAGTGTCAGTATAATCTTTGGTAAGCAGGTGGTTAACATAAGCAAGAGTTTAGTCCATTGAAACTGTTTATCATCTTGATACCTTCCGACAAAAATTGACCCTACCGGCGTCACCACGGCGTCCCCGCCGATCGATCGAACGTGACGTTGTTATGTGGGTGTTTTATAGATTATTAAGAATGGTAATATCACCGAAAATATAGATAAAATGACAGTTGAATGACCAACAAAGACAACTGAAGACAATAGTTCGTCATTATAAGCTTTTTAGTATAACTTCCTTCGGAAAATTAATCTCAAAATCGAGTTGCCGTCCCCGGCGTTTTCAGTGACGTCGTATGATTTGTGTACGATTTTTACCAATTAACCCCTAAGTAAAACATATTTGAGCCATGTAGTACCTTGCAAATCAACCCAGAAACCCGGTAGTTTGTTGATTGTTTATTGGTAGCGTACCTTCGCTGCCAAAAATAGTTTTTTGGCAGTTGCGTCCCCGGTGACATCGTGAGGGCATGGTGAAGGCTGGTTACGATTTTGTGGCACATCGATTGAGTATTTTCATTCATCTGGCTATGTAAGTCAGCGGCGTATGTAGATGTCTTTAAATGAGGGTGGGGGGGGGCTGATGGGGGACGCCACTGATGTAAAGTAGATTCATGCTTATATTTTACACATTTTTATAGCTTATGGTGATATAAATTCAATAATTAGACAAAGACCCTGCAAGTCTGGACCCATACACTAAAATAAATTATTTTTGTGTCTAATGTGTCAATTTTATTTATTTATATATTATTATTTTATATATATATATTTCTTGCTTTAATGTTTTCTTTAAATCATTATTTTATATAATTAATACACTGTAGGCCTATATATGCTTTTTCTGATTATTATTATTATTATTATTATTATTATTATTATTATTATTATTATTTTCTGCTTTAGTTAATAATTAATTTGTTTATGTTTAAATTAAAGATCTAGTTTAATTTTTATACTTATGTTCAAAGTGTATGTACTAGGGTGCCCAATTGATCAGCTCAGGCTGGATGGACCACCCTCACAAAATATTGTTCAAATAAATAAATAAATACACTTAAATTAGTGTAGAAAACTAGATTGTGATTATTCACCAGACGTGCCGTCTTGATCCAAAATAATGACGTCGGTACGATCCTGGGCCGATAATCTAAGGGCCGAGTAGGCTAAGGGCCGAGTTGGTGTGTACGGCCGAGTTATGGGCCGAGTCGGTTAAGGGCCGAGTTGACAAGGGCCGAGTTGGTGTATGAGCCGAGTTGGTTATAGGCAGAGCATAGAGATATAATAGCTCTATGAGGCAGAGTTAGTTCATGGGCCGAGCTGGTGAAGGGCCGAGTCGGTATGGTCCGAGTCGGTTAAGGGCCGAGTCGGTATACCGTAATGGCCCGAGTCGGGTTAAGGGCCGAGTTGACTTGAAGCCAATGAAATTGCTGATGCGTGACCATCCACGACACACGACGATTTTTTATGACGTGGCTTGGTTGGTAATTTAAAACCGGGCTCGGAGCACATTAGTACGTGTGTGCGGTGCATTATTCCCCTTCTTGCTTGCCTAGCGTAGCCTAGGTTTCACTGAAGTTCAGTCATGGTTTCCAACATCAAAATATCTCCTGCAGGGTTTGCATTCATTTTTATTGTTGCTGGATCTATAATATTGTATACTCAAAGAAGTTGGAGGTACTCAAAGCCATTTGAAATGCAAAGTACGGACCAGCAAATAAGTCTGAAGGAACTGTTGTCGGTGAGCATTGAAATGGCTGAGATGGGAGGCCTAGAAGTAGTCGAAGTGATGAAGGAAAAGAAACTGAATGAGAAAAGTAAAGGCGAAACCAGAGAAGGTGCTAACAATCCAGTGACAGACGGTGATATGCGATCTCACAGAGTAATGACCCACGGTATGAAGAAAGCATTCCCAAATCTCAAAGTAAGTACATCTACTCTAGAGGAAGGCCATACTCTAGGCTAGTCTAGACCCTAGCCTATCTAGGCCTAGCCTAGATGAAGTTAGATTAGAGCCCAGGGCAGGTGTATGGCCTGGGTCTACTCGAGTAGAGGTAAAAATGGACTTTGAACATAGTAGTGCCCACTCTAGCTAGGCCTTCAATTATTAGTTAATAGGGGACCGTTAATAGTCTATAATATAATCTGGAAAAAAAATTAAAATATAACCCTGGACTGGTGGAGAGAAAAAAAAAATCATATTGTTAATTAAATACTTCTGGGCCTAGGCCTACTTCTAGTTCTACTTCTTTACTCGGCATACTTCCTTCAGTCAGGATATCTCGTGACAGCGGCTTGTTCCACCCCCAGAAACATAGGCAAGCATGTCGTTTATGAACACCAATATTATGGCTGTAGGTTACGGCGCCCTGCCTTAAACCGCTCAGCCAATCGAGTTGCCATATATATAAATAATCATATAATATAATAATGTTTAATGATAGTAATAATAATAATAATAATAATAATAATAATAATATAATATTTATTAATAGATTCCTTTTGCTTGCCGGTGAAAAGTTAGATTATGAAGATAAATTATTCATAGTATATAAGTTAAAATAGATTTATTTAAAATTTCAGTAAAAGCTAAAATAAATAAAGTACAGCATATCAAGACATTATACTGGGACATTACACTTTTAAAAAAAGGACTTAAATTTCATGCAAAAGCCAAAGAACAGTGAATAATTTTTATCAATTTGCTTCAAATTAATAAATAGGTAATTTCTGAAGAGCATGAAACCTTAGAGTGGGATAAAGATAAAGTTGCAACGCCGAAGATGGACCGTGATGAAATAAAGTCAATTACAGGGGATTCTGTTATCAACATTGAAGATATCACTGTCTGGATTGATCCTCTGGATGCTACTCAAGAATATACTGGTAAGCTTAACCAAACCAGGGGGTTGGGGGGGGGGCAATCAAGAGATAACACTACCCAGCTTAGAGGAGTCTGGGAAGTTTTTTGTTTTCTTGACGACCAGAAATAACGTCTGAGGAATTTTGGGCGAACAATAATTACCTTTTTTTTCCCCTTTTTATTTTGAATTTCCAAAAGAGGGGTGGCTGGTGCCGGCCCGACTCCCTTAAATCCGCCCCTGTTTATTCAGTCCACCATACATTAAAAATACAATAGAAATGTATCTTAAGTTCTGGTAATAGCTTTAAGTAATGCTCTGTCCTCACTATGACATTTTATGTGTATCATGCCCATATATGAGCATGATGATGTCATATTACACCTAAATATGGGCATATCTAGGCATCAGTAGTTTGTCATATAAAATTTTATAGTGTCGGCAGAGCTTAAAACTGTCAAAGTTGATACTGTACTTAGCCCAGAGTTCAAGTTGATAGTGGATGATGCACTGTATAAGTTGTTAGCACCAATACTGTACTATCTACCACCTTGGTTTCTTCCATATTTATGTTGTGCAAATGACACTTTTTGGAATGTACAGTTAAACTTGCCTAAGTCGAATAATTTCTAAGTCAAATAATTTCTAAGTCGATCTTATTTTACATGCCAAATTGTTGTGTTTTCCATTAATTAACAATCTGTAAGTCGAATTTTATCTCAGTTGAACAATATTCCAATGGCATTTTGGATTCGACTTAGGCAAGTTCAACTAGTCTAGTGTACCTATTTTGTAATGTCTCTTTGACTATCCACTGTACTTGATGTTTCTTGCAGAGGAATTGTTACAGTATGTAACCACAATGGTATGCGTTGCTGTGAAAGGTGATCCAGTAATTGGTGTCATTCATAAACC